CCCCGGCCAGGCAGTTGCCACGGCCTGATGCCCGGATGAGGGGCTGGCTTTCCAGGAGGCTCCTGCCCAGCTGGGCTTTGGAGGCAGCACCCACTGTGATGGCCGGTGGTACGTCCATCTCCGGCTGGAGAGAGGGGAGCTGGAGACCCACGGCTTCCCCGTCTGAAATGAACTGCACCGCTTCCATGGGGCCTGAAACCAGAAACCAGCATGCCTCAGTGAAGCCTAGGATCTGCCCCAGCTCCATCCCCCTGCTCCACCACTGAGCAAAGACACTTCTGTGCCTTTCCGCAATGTTTTGAGTGGGGTTGGTATCTTCCCCAGTCGCATGGAGGGCAGGAGTGGGCTGGGGGGATCAGGAGCTGCAGGGGCTACACATCTCTGGTACAAGGTCTGCAAGCCTTTGTTAAGAGAGGTTCCAAATTTCACGTTGGTGGGACTCGGACACTGTCCAGCTCCGTCCTTCCTGCCTAAGGGCACCCATGTGAGCTGGAGCCCAGCACCACCCTCCCCTCTCCCCAAGAAGGAGGAAGGCGGCAGGAGCAGGTACCTTCTGCCTGCCTGTAGCAGGGGCTCAGGTTCTTCATACCCAGGCAGCAGGGACCAGACATCTGCTCCTCACACAGGAATCTGCCAGGCGCCGCCGCAGTCGGGAACATCGCTTGCTGGCCCGAGAAGTTCTGAGTCCTCAGGAAGACTTGGAGGATAGAGGAGAACCAGCCTGAGCGAAGGCTTGGCTTGCTTCCCCAGCACGTCCTCAGCCATGAGGTACATCTGCCGCTGAGGAGCCAGGAGCCAGCAGCTCCCCGGCACGATGCTGGACACCAACGTGCTCCAACCCCAGCCACCAAACCTACTGCCCTCACCAGTGCTACGGTCCTGCCCCGCAAAGAGCCACTCAACCTCAGCCTGCCCTGAGACACCCCAGGGAGAGAGGATCGCCAGTCTGACTGGGGAACGCCATTCACCTCCTACTGATGCTGCACTTTGAGCAGGCAAAGCATAAGAGAGGTCCCACAGATGTAAAGAGCAGGATGAGATGCTTATTCTGCACGAGCAGAGGAATGTTCAGGTCACTGGATGCTGCAAGAGCAGCATTGCTGGGGCAATGCTCTGCACAGCGAGGAATGGGCCAGGAGCACATGTGAACAGCAAAGGGAGAAGAAAGAGAAGCACTGCGGGCATTGACTCACCTCGCTGGCACTGCCTCTTCCAAAACCGCTTGCAGTAGATGATGGAGAGTGCCAGAAGCACCAGCACGATGATGACCAGGGCACTGCTGGTCAGTGCAAGAAGGGCCGTGTCCTGCGGTGGTACGGTTGGGACAGCTACCTTCACCAGGTTTGTTCTGGACCGACCTGCAAACACACCAGCCACAACCCCCCCAGCCACAAAACGTTGGAGCCCAACCCCGAGGCTTGGGCCACTGCATCCCTCTTCACGTGGAATGACCGTGCAGGTCTGTGGACCGGTGGCTTGTGCTGAGGCCAGTGGAGGAAGCTGGCCAGCAAGCAGGATCAGTGAGAGGATGGTGCACATCTGAGTGCATGCCTGTGACAGTCTCAATGACCTGGCACATACCATGAAGCTGCTTCACCATGTCCTCACCACCCCTCACCACCTCAGAGCACCTCACCCCACTGCCGGCCAGGAACGACACCTACACTGAGGCTCGGAGGAGGGCGTCTGCTTGGTGCAAGGGATGCACTCCCAGTCCAGCTGCCCGCTGATCCGCGCCTTGCGGTAAAACCTGCCAAGAGAGCAGAGGGTCTCAGCAGCGCACGGCCCCGGGGAGCCCCCGCCAGCCTGGCTCCGGAGAGACAGGAGGTTTGTCTGCCCCACGGGAGAGCTGCCCACTGCCATGCTCCTGCTCGCCCAAGGCTGCAGGTCTCTCCATTGCTGGCTGAAGCCGTACCTGCAGCCACTGCTTCATGTCTGTTGCCACTTTGGCCAAGGAGTGGCATCACTCGACCATCACCCCCCACCCCGGGTCTGCTGAAGTGGGTGACAGCGATTGATAGCTGCACAAAGCCACAGAAATGCCCCAGCCCACGGCTGTGTCTGGGAAGAGGCTCACAAACCAGAGCCCGGACTCGTTCCCCCTCACGAGTCCCACTGCTTGCCAGTGCCTGGTCTGCAGACTGGTTGTGTGCAGGAGTGGCATCACTCGACCATCACCCCCCACCCCGGGTCTGCTGAAGTGGGTGACAGCGATTGATAGCTGCACAAAGCCACAGAAATGCCCCAGCCCACGGCTGTGTCTGGGAAGAGGCTCACAAACCAGAGCCCGGACTCGTTCCCCCTCACGAGTCCCACTGCTTGCCAGTGCCTGGTCTGCAGACTGGTTGTGTGCCGCAAGAACAACTCAGTCCTGGGAGGGGTTTTCTTCCACTGCTTGTTCATGGGACCCTTCAGGTTCCCTGTTTGGAGCTCCAAGGGATCATTGGATGGGCCTGATCTACGTGTCATTAGCAATGTCCTCAAAGAGGCAGCCCTGGGTCACTGGGGCTCCTCCTCTTATGTCCCACATTCTAGGTGGCCTCTGATAAAGCCTGCTCTGTCCCTCCCCACACGCTCCCAGGCGCAACCACCGCAGCTCTGCTCGAGGACCGGCCCCACTCACCCCGGCAGACACTCCCCACAGACCGCGTTGGTTGTCGCCGTGCAGTTGGACTTCTGGACACGGTTGATGAGGATGCAGGACAGGCAGGGGTTGCAGCCGGGATGCCCC